GAGGGGCCGGCAGTGCTGCTCCCGGCTCTTATGTCGTACCTCGGGTGACTTTCGCGGTTGCTTAGCCCGTGTGTGGCGTTGTGCGTGCAAACTTAACGCTCTTTGGTTTAAAGCGTTCTGGTAAATCAGTCATGGAAAAAAGAAAACCAAAACTTCATAAACTTCCCTGTTAGCTCAGTACGTTGTAACTCCTGCTGTTAATAAATTCAGACTACTTACAGTATGTTTCCAATGAAGTACATTGTGCTTTTTTTTTCCCCCATGTTTTTCTTTAGTTAGGGCAGTCTGAGAAAATTTGGGGTGGTGTTTCTTTACAAGCAGAAGTTAAATAGAAAGTCTTAAGATGACAGGGTTGTGGTGTTGTTACAGAAATACTAATGCTTATGAGTGATGCGTGGGAGGGGATGGATTTATCTGACCCATTACTAACCAAATGTAATGGGACAGTTTAATTCCAGTATCTCATAGGAAACTCTTCTAACCTTGCATGTGCAAGGCACCACCTTGTGTATATCTCTGAATCTCAGCTCAGTGGGTTGGTTGTTTTGTTTTGTTTTTTCTTTTTGTTTTTTTTTTGTTTTTTTTGTTTTTTTTTTGTTTGTTTTAAATCGTTTTGTTGGTTTTTTAAAAATTTTTTTTGTGTATGTTAAAACGTAGTACAGTAACTTTGAAAGTCCAACCCATTCCACTTGTGTATTTTCATAAATAGATAAATAGCTTTCAGCCAGAGGTCAGATTCTTACTATATTTGTTCCTTAAACACAGTGCGTTTTTGCTGGGTCCTGTTTCCAGCACTGCAATACAAACGGTAACTGCTTGTTTCAATTACTGAAGTTCTTCAAAGTTACTATTTATTTGATAAGATTTCAGTTTACTACTGAAGTATTCAATTTTTTGTTTTTGAATTGTTAGTTGTTTTCCTGAATCACTACTTATTTTTTCCCTTTACACTGTTTAAATGAAATGCCATTTTAATAAATGAAGCTGTATTATTAGAAAAAGAACTTTTCCTTGATGTTAGTTGCGCGCTCTTTCAGCTGTCAGAAACTTCAGATAAAGCCAAATTTCCTCTAGAGGGAGATCTTGATGCTTTTATGTGCTCAAATGTTGGTCACTTTGTTCCAGTTAAACTTTTGATGACTTATCTTGGAAAGGAACTGAGATGAGTAATGTGTATGACTTCATAGGAGCCGGTCTTCTGCATCTGTGCTTGAAATTTCATTACAGAATATAGACGATAGCCTGTAATGTAACACTTCTGTAGGTTAAATGAAGCATTCTTGGTTTAATTCAATTAGATCTAATTTTGAAGTCAAATGAGCAATCTTTACAAGTTCCAGAGTACTACAGCTCCTGGAATAGTATTTGGAAGACCTACATTTGTGGCATCAGTTCTGCAGATGCTTACATAGATACTGACTTTCATAGAGCATTCTCATTTTAATCAAGATGCTTTTAAGGACAGTTTCTTTGTTGACCTAAAGCAAGAATTTCAGAGTGTTTTGGGATAAATCACTTTAGCATAATGAATGCTAAGAGCTGGGCAAGGAAACAAAGCAGAAATGAAATGTCCCGTTTATTCGATCCTAGCAACTGTAAGTTAGCTAGGATTAAGCAAGATAGTATAGCAATACTTCTTGACTATGAACGGCAGAGACTGAAAGATTATTTTTGTAGGCACATCACTTGTTTGAATGTAGTTAACCCTATAGTCCACATGCTTCATCTAAATTATTAGCAGAAGCTTGGTGGGATTGTTATGGTGGTGAGTTAATCAACATGTTACTTACACATTCTCAGTATGAGATTTCTTTTTCACAGGCATTTTAGAAAAAATTATTCCACAGTAAACAAGCATCTATGCTCTTATTTTTCTGTGAGCAAATGCAAACAGCAAATTTGGTGTAGTTTCTGGCATAAGTCTGTCCAGAAACTTATGCACAGACATATTAAAAATAAAGGCTGTGTGGAATTTGCTCTGTATATATATTTGGAAAATTTCCTCACACTGCAAGACTGCTGAATGGGTCATAGAATCATAGGGTCAAGAACGTGCTTACTTTTTTAGCTGTCAGTTGAAGCCGTTCATACTTCTTTCAGGTAATGTGTACTGTTAAGAAATAGATATTGTTAGATGGACTCCAAAATAGTTGTAGTATTTGTATTCTTAGAAATGTACATACCAAAACACCGCGTAATTGATTACCAGCTTTTTTGTGTGTATGAGGGAAAGTGCTACTGCAAGTAAGGTTAAAGTGATTTGCGGTACTTATTTTGCAAGTTTGTTTTCCTTTTCATACTCATTTTCATTGTTTTATGGTATGCAAATGCATCTCTGCGGTGCATTAAAAATGTATGCAAAGAGCTTGGAGGCAAATGGTGGTGCATAATGGAATATGCATATGTGTTATAATAGAGGAATAAATTCCATTAATAAACAGGAATAAAAGTTACATGTTTTTCTGTGAAGAAAAGCATATTTATATCCTTACGTTACTCAAGTTGCAGACTCTTACAAATTTTGCTCTGAATAATTGATTCTTTATTTTAGATCATATTTTTGGAGGATTCCAGCACTGAGATTTCTGGAGTCTGCTGTGTCTAGCCATAATGAGTTCATCACTGGTTGCTTATGATGATTCAGACTCCGAGACAGAAACTGAAAACACTGAAGTCCCCAATACTTCCAGCAGACAGACAAGCCAGCCAAGTTCTTCTGGGAATTGTGTTCAGTACTTTGCACCTGGTAGTTTGGGTACAAAATCTACATATGAAATGCAGCCTACTGAGAACACGGACTGTTCTGGCGCAAGTACTGCTTGTGAAGATGCCTCTGAGCATTATGCACAGAATAACAACACTGATTTGACATCTCCTTATTGTAGGGGAGCGTACTCTGGCCATACTGCATTATGCATGTCCTACAAAAACTGTGAACAGACGTCGAGTTCTTCAACATACTCTGGAAATGGTGTTTCCCACAAGAGAATACATAAAGACAGTACTACTGCCATAAAAGGGATTAGACCGTATATCCCTAAAAGATTGCGTCAAGAAAATTCCAGTATGCCTGAGAAAAAAGAATGTGATCAGAGAGAAAGCTCAGCTTGTGATGTTAAGCTAGGCATATCAGGAGAGCAGACTTCGAGAAAGATCTCTGAATTAATTAAGCCATATTTGGGATCCAAATATAAATTAACTGAAATCCCCAAAAGCTTAATATTTCGCATGTCTAAACACAGTGGCCCTGTCAATGAAATCCAGTGGTGTCCTGTACGAGAACAAAGTCACTTGCTTCTCTCGGCTTCTATGGACAAAACAATCAAGGTAATGTAGAACAAGATGCTTTGTGGATCAATCATCAAACTTAAAAATACTCCATTAAATAATGATCTGGGAATAACATCCTTGCTTGTGTGTGTTTAACAGTTCCAATGTATTCAGAATTTGAGGAATTGCTTTGAAGTACATTATGCAAGTTATGAACTTGCAGCCTGATCCTTCACTATACCTACAGTCAGTTAGTTCTGTTTTTTTGGAATGTGTTCGTGGTTGTGTTTTTTTTTTTTTTTTAAATTTTTTTTAATTTTTTTTTTTTTTTATTGGGCATGTCAGTGTTTTAGATCTTGTTGTATTTCTGGCAGGTCATTTCTTGTAATGTGTATTAATGTTAGGTTTTCATTATTTCCTATGTTAGTTTCATAATAGCCATAGGCACTATGGTCTGACTACAGATTCTGCCTTCAGTCATTAAACAATTGACTGCCAACACTGGAATAGTATTTTGAGGAACTTTACCTTTCTGTCAGGGCTAAGGTCTGACAGTTCAGTTTTTCATCTGAACTGATGTTTTGCATCCCAGAAAGGTATCCTATTGTGATCTCAGGAGTCTTCCCACTTGAACGTTGTTTCAAGGGTTAATTGCTCAATACTTAAAGTGGAATTTCCTTTTGGCTTTAGTGAATTTGGCTTCCGTTTTTTGTGTATTAATTTAGTCCAATGAGTATTATTTTTGTTTTAACATTGGGTAATAAAAGTATTTTATGTGTGTGTTTTCCCAGATACAGGGCTAATGCCACCTCTGGGTTCAAATGATAGTCCAAAGTGGGTTTACACAGGAACATGGTTTTGATAAAAGCATACAGAAAGTGTCCTTCTTGGTGTAAGGCATGCTTTATTGTATTTAACGTAGCAGGTACAATTATTTTAAAATCTGGTTCTAAAATTTGGGGCTTTAAAGTAAATCATAGGAAGTAAAGAGGCAAGAAGAGCACCCATTGTATCAGCACGCTTCTAAAATCTAAGGAGAGGTTTTAGAACTTTAAAAACTGAATTTGAATTCTGATTTCATGTAGGAAAAAAATACTGTTAAATTCTCTTCTGTCCTGGGTTCAGCTACAGCAGTCATTTTTTCTCCTTCTTAGTAGCTGGTGCAGTGCTGTGTTTTTGACTTTCAGTCTGGGAACAATGCTGATAACACCGATGGTTTTAGTTGTTGCTCAGTAATGTTTACTCTGACCAAGGACTTTCTCAGTCTCATGCTTTGCCAGGGAGGAGGGGAAGACAGGAGGAAGCAGAGACAGGACCCCTGACTCAAACTGGCCAAAGGGGTATTCCATACCACAGCACGTCATGCCCAGTATAGAAACTGGGGAGAGTTACCCGGAAGGCCCAGATTGCTGCTCGGGTCGGGCTGGGTATCGGTCGGCGGGTGGTGAGCGGTTGTGTCCTCTCCCCTTGTTATTTCCCTTATCATTATTATTGGTAGCAGTAGTGGTTTGTATTATACCTTAGTTACTGGAGAGCTGTTATCTCAACTCGTGGGAGTTACATTCCTTCGATTCTCCTCCCCATCCCTCCGGGAGTGGGGGGAGGAAGGAAGAGGAGGGGAGTGAGCGAGCGGCTGCATGGTTCCAAGTTGCCGGCTGGGTTTAAACCACGACATCTTCTTAAAATTGAGATTGTTTGTTTCTTTTAAACTATTTTGCTGTTTAACTTGTAGTGGAGAATTGGAGTTTCATTCAGTTTGGCTTTTGTATGATTTTTCTTCTCTTAGAATTTTTTTTCCTCTTTCCCCAGTTTTGCCATGGGGCCCTATATGTGCTCACTTTGCATCTTTGAAGCAGTGATGTTCTTGAATGTTGGGCAGAGTTTCTGCTTTTTTCTCCTAGTGTCTATTAAATCACTGGTGCTCACAGAAGAGAAAAGTCCTGATCTATAGCATGAATCAAATTTACTCCTCTCGGTTGCCTTATCTTTTCTTCCGGTATAATAACTTCACAGTTTCTGTAGTCAGCATAATGTATCACGCCATCAAAGCCTGAATACTTTGAACTGTGGGTAATTCCTCCTTCATCTTATTTCCCAATTTTTTTTTACATCTTTCTCTTCAAGATTAAATGGAGGAAAAAAGTACTTTTGTTTTTCTTTGCAGGTGTTCTTTAATATATTGAATAAGTTAGATCTTGGGTGTTACTTGAAGAACTGACTTAGAAGGAAAAAAATAAGATATGCAGAAAGTACTGATGGATGTTTTTGGTAAACAGCAGTTTAAATTTGGACTGTACAAAACTGTATGCACCTCTGACTTCAATATGTCTGAATTTGACTTTTTATATTAAACTGTCACACCATATGCTTAATATTTGTTTACTACCCCAGAGCCTCATTTTACTGATGGGTGGAATTATGGATGTGTTAAATTTCGTAAAAAAAATCTAAAATCAAAGTTGTTATTGCAATGTAAAATTATTTAAAAAATGGAAGTAATAGCCTGTCTTTTCTTCTAAGCAGAAAGAAAGATTACTGTTTGGAAGCATTCCTTAACAGTAAAGTTGGTTTTTGAAGAAATCTAATTGCTTTAGGTACCCCAAACCATGGAAATTCAATATAAAAAGAGTATGTTAATGTTGGCAACACTTCAGAGCATGTGAGTAAAACGTTAATAAAATAGTAAGGTAACTGTTACAAACTATATGAAAACACACATCTGCATTTTGGGAGGTTGCCTGTAGAGAAATACCTATGAATGCTTCCTACTATTATTTCTTAATGAAATTGAAGACTCTAACGGTATGAGCAGTAGCATCTTCAGTTTGCACCTTTAAACAAGTGCTTTTCAGGCCAGTAGAGGGCATGGTTAGATTAAGTATTGACTTGATGTTACCAGACTTATTTCTCTTAACTTTCTAGGGTCGCAAGCCTGTAAATCTCTAATGACTATGACAGCAGTAGTTTATCTTCTGGGAATTGTTTGGCTGTCTGCCACTGCCTCAAGTTCTCCATTTTCTGGTATAAGCATAAAGCAACTGATTGAAGATGCAGATGCACTTTTTAATTAATTTATTTATTTTTCTGAGCCTATACCTTCCCACAGCTTACCCTTTTTTGTTGTTTTCATCCAAAAACACCTGCTTGGAATTGGTAGTTTAATTCTGGGCTGTAGAAGTTGGTCCTCTTTCTCTTTAATGGGAATTTACAGGCACTCAGGATGTTTGCACTGTTTACTTTCAACATCTGATTCGGATAAAGCTCAAAACAGAGTTAGAAGCCTAAAATCCCTGTATGATCAGAGAGGCAATCCAGGGCTGCAAAACTCTGTACTTCCAGTTAGTCCTATGAATAGCTGTGACTGAGTATTTTTATGTGTAATTATCTTGGATTCAGTCCTTACATGGAACCTATGCATTAAGACATCTTTTAAATAGTGCAATATTAGTGGAAATTTCTCAGAACCAAGAGTTCTGTCTAAACATATCTGACTAAGTATGGTAGTTTAAGTTGTGCTTAAATCAAAAGATCTTTAATTGTATGCAATATTCATAGTATTTAGCCAAACAGTTTTCCAGGTTTTCATCTTTTATCCATTCTTATGTGCTTAAATATATTCCTCTTAAATTTTTCGTGTACTATTTCTGCGGATTTTATATTTTTCATTCGAAGTATTTGCTCTTAGTTTTTTGTGGCTGCGTTTGAAAAAACCCAGTTATCAAGTGATACAGTTGAAAAAGATCAGTTACCAGCTCAGGGATGTAATTCCTTAGAGTAACACTTCTACCAGCAGATGGGGCTCCTCAGCATTTTAAAAAGGGATGGTGACTAAACTGTGACTCTAAAGACTGGGACAATTTAGTGTTTGCCTCTATGTTGTGCATCAAAAGACCAAAATTGAAAGTTCATGCATGTGTTGTGAAAAGTATAAGAAGACTTCATAGAAACCTGGAATTAAGGTAGAGCTTCATATGGGAAGTGATACATATTGCAGATTAATTGCCACAGCTCTTCTTCTTAACCCTCCATTTTCTTAGAATTTTGAGTTTCCCCCTTGGAAGGGGAAGCAGGTAGTACTTCCAGTCTAGGTAGCTGGAGAAAGGTACAAGAAACCTGATTCAAGTTAGTCAAAGTACTTTTGGGAGCTCTTGCTGTGGCAGCGTTCTTCACTTTTACATTTTAACTGTATTGTCAGTGGCTTACGTTTCTATTTTAAGTGTGTATTATAAGGATTGTGAAACATGATTGTCTGATTAAATTTGTTTTCTTTGGATAGCACTTCTTCTCTACCTTTTGTTTGAATAGCTGCTGTAAATGAAAATTAGGGCACTACTCTCATTTTTGGTTTTGCCTATTTAAACACTGAAATAGTATTTGAGATTTTAGTATCTTGTCTAGTATTTTTTGCATAAATTTTGAGACTCAGTACTGTTACTAAAGGTGCCTTGTTTCCATAGTGTGGATATTCAACATGTTTCTGGTTTAGAACCCCAAATACAGAATTCAAAATCACAGGTTACTGTTGAATACAGCTTTTTGCCTTACATAACATGTCTCTTGCAAGACATGTTTACCAATTGCAGAAACCACTATCTTGCATTTATGTTGTTAGTGTCTTTTATTTGGAAGACCTTGTTATTACATAGCTACAGAGATGTAAACATTTTCAATAGTTACTGATCCTGGACTTAGCTTTTTAACAACTGTTCATAACTTCAAGCCTCCCATACCATTATTCCATATTTCCTCTTTTGTCTTAAAATTAAGGTAACATCTTTATATAATCATCTTTAAACTTTTATTTGTGTTCCTGATTTTCTATTTAGAGCATTACAGCGGTATTCTATCTGTTGCAAAGTACTTTTTTCATTTTCAGCACTTTCACCCTCCACTGATGAACAGGATCAAGGAAAGAAAGTACTGTAATTCTTCAGTACACAAAATGTATATTAATAGCACTTTGATGGGATGACTTGTACGCATTGTTGGAAGCTTTTCTAATGTATTTTTTCCCTACTTGACTAGTTGAACTGTGTGTCCATTTAGTCTATAAATCTGTAGCTAAA